GGAATCGTTAATTTTAAATTTTTATTTCTCATTTTCCTTACACGTACCCATAGGAAGCTGTCAAGCAGTCACTTGTAATGGACGCCTCACGTGGAAACGCAGATACACGTAGCTACCCTTAGACACTGCGTTACGAGGACCGAAGGAGAGGGGGGCGAAGGGGACAAGGGGGCAGAGGGAGGGGGAGACTGAAATCACGGGCAAATAGGTGGAGGGGCTCATATGCAAGCATCCGAGGTATATCAGACATAAAGCCTTTTTTGAAACGGCATAAAGCCTTCCCCCCAAACATGAAGAGCTTTCCTGTTTTTACGAGTTTTTTGCAGCTATGCAATGCGAAAAACGCACATTGACGAGAGATTGTCTGTATGTGTGTGTCTGTGTGTGTGTTTGTGTGTGTGTCTCTGTGTTTGTGTCTGTATGTATGTGTCTGTGTGTGCGCTGCGGGTCTGTACCGATTTTTCATCTCGAGACCTACAAGAGCTACAGGGCTGAAATTTTGGGGACTTAATCTACGTGCACATACTGGCCTCCATCCCCAAAATGAGCGGCCTTACCCGCGTGGTACCCACGTAAGAGCCCGCCAAAGTTTTTTACGGGTAAGCCGCTAACTTGCGAATCAGAAAAGCTAAAAAGCTGAAATTTTAAGGGGAAGTTCCCCGTCCACAAAAGTCTAAATGAGCTCAAACCTATCTTCCGGGTAAGCGTGGTACCCGCGTACGAGCCCGTCAAAACTTTTTTTCGGGTAAGTTCATAACTCGGGGATCTGAGATGCTAGAAAGCTAAAATCTAAAGTGGTTGTTCCCCGTCCAACTAGGTATTAATGAGCTCAAACTCAGCCTCCGGGTAAGCGTGGTACCCGCGTACGGGGCTGCCAAATTTTTTTTTCGGGTAATTTGATAACTCAGGGATCTGAGAAGCTAGAAAGCTGAAATTTTAAGGCGACGTTCTACTTCCAAGTAGGTATTAATGGGCTCAAATCCAACTCCCGTGTAGACGTGGTACCCACGTACGGGCCTGTGAAATTTTTTTTAAGTTGCTAATCAGAAGCCAGGAAGGCTTGAAAGCTAAAATTTTAAGGGGTGTTTCCTGACTGACAGCCAGTTTTAATTTGTTTAGCTAGAAGTATTTGCCGGGAAAGCCGGTGCCGGTAGCGACGAAAACTGCGGTGTACTATGCAAAAAACGCATCTTCGCACATGCAGCCCGTGTGTTGGCCAGTTATTTCTTTTCTTGAGGGAAATAAGAGGCAAAACAACCGCCGGCGTGAGGTGTACACTGCTGCTGTTAGGACGGTGAAGAGCTTATTCTAAGCTAATGCTAAAAGGCAGCCATAGTATTCTGCTTCTTTTTGATTCTTTTCCTTCTGCACTTGTTGTAACAAACACTGAAATTACATTATTATAGAATTTACAAGTATTATGGTGGATAAACGAATGGAAAAGCAGTTGTTGCAAAAGGAAGAAGTGGCTAATATGAGCAGGGAGTGAAGTTAGGCCACTTCTTCCTTTCGCAACAAAACATCCATGTTTCATCCCTTAGCCGTAAACACACACAGAGCTCAATGGCACTTCCAGTTTTTATGCGTTTTGTGCTGTGTAACGGCGTTACAAAACGCATGTTGTCACGGGGTTGTCTGTGTATATGTGTGTGTGTTTGTGTTTGTGTTTGTGTGTGTGTGTCCCACATTTTGTCCCCCACTTTCAACTCGGGAACCACAAAAGCTAGCGGCTGAAATTTTGGTATAGTGTTCCCCGCCAACGG